CCTGATAGGTATCCATGTAGACTGAAGATTCAGATTTATCCCCTGCATCCAGTAAGTACTCTTTGTGTAACTTTTAAAGTATCTTTCTAAGTCAAGCATTTTTAAATTTTAATCAAATCATGTTTTCTATTTTAGAAACTCATGCTCAAGTGCAGAGCAGCAGCTTATTAATGGCATATTGGACACAAGCACGCAGACGCTTAAACTTATAAGTAACTTGTCATTTTAACCCTAAGAACCAATTCACATTAGATGGGCTGCAACTAGAATGGAGCAAATAATTTTAGAAGCCTGATGAACGCTCAGGATTGGAAACATTCCTTAAATGTGATGAGGCTACCAGTCTGTACTACTTTGGTATTTCAGGGTCTAAATCCTTTAGGCTCCAAAGGTCAGTAAAGAGACTCTTTTCTAAATATACAGTTGACTTGAAAGATTTACTCAAGCTTGCTTCAACTGCTGTCCTCGAGAACTGTTAAAACAATAAAATTGTCAAACTCGTGTGCTGTTAATCCCATTTTTATTGTTAACATTTGCCAATGAAATTGCTCTTTAATTGTCTGCTCTGGAATAGACACATAAAATATCATGACAGCGATATTTTGGCACATATTGGAAAATCTGCTATGAATATAGATTTTTTTCCAATAAAATACAGGTTGCCCATATTACTTGGCATTAAAATGATTTACGGAAGTAGGTCAAAACATAAACCACTGAAATAAAATGAAGAGAGATTAGAGTTATAGCAAAACCCAAAGGCTGATCCATCCAAATTCATACTTAAGACACATTTCAAAGCAATGTCTACTCTTTAGAAAGTGGCAAAGGAGAAAGAAGAATGCTTTCCATCCTGCTCGCCCAGCAACTCTGCACTCAAAAACCAAGCCAGCAGGTCCTCCTATGATTGACTTTCTCCAGGAGCCCGCATTTATTGAGCAGATCCAGACTGTCTTAGAGTCGTAGACCCTGATGGCTGTATATGGGAATCTAGTCAGCTAAATTCAGTGCAGGCTGCCTGAGCCTCCACTCCCCTCAACACAGCTGCCTTGCGCTGCCAGTGAAAATGCAGTGTCTGCCAGGGAAGCAGCACTGAGCTGCTGCGACAGCTCCCTTTTGTAAGCTATCAGCTACCTGGTTCTTCCCACCGCTTGGCCTGCCAAGAGTGGGGACACCTGCAGCTGGAACACAGGATTAAAAACATCCTGCCTGTTCTCTGGCCTGAATGTGGTGTTAGAACTCCTGGACCCTTAGATGAGACCTCTGAGACCGGCTCTATCTTTTAAGCTCCCTTCCCACAGTCCCTTTGGCTGATCTCAAAAGCCTCGCTGATGGAGTCTTACAGGTGACTCCCAGAATCCAGCTTTCAACCTGTTTCAAGTTTCCAGTATAAGCCCATGACCCTAATCCTGATCCTATCCCAGACCCAACCCCAATGGCCAGGCAGCAGAGGGGCTCAAAAAGTCTTCTTTTAAATAGAGGATCCTGATTTTTTTTAATTTTTAAATTGAAGTATAGTTTATGTACAATATTATATAAGCTACAAGTGTACAAGATATTGACTCACATCTTTTCAGGGTTATACTCCATTTACAGTTATTATAAAATACTGGCTATATTCCCCATGTACAATATAGCCTTGCAGCTTATTTTATTCATAGTAGCTTGTACCTCTTAATCCTCTACCCCTATATCGCCCCTCCTCCCTCCTCTCTCCCCACTGGTAACCACTAGTTTGTTTAGAGGACTGTGATTTTGAAGAGTATAAATTACTTGCAAAGCCAACAAATAAGAAAGAACCACAGTATAAAGCCCTGCGGGAATCTGGTCCCAAACTGCTCACTCCCTACCATCTCTCCACGGCCCTGGTGCAGGCATATTTAAGTACTCACCATCCCCAAAGCTGGAATGCCCCCTCTCCTCACGACAAGCTGCTCAAGGCCCTTGTTCAAAGGTTA